TAGATGTGTCTGCTTATTTTTAACTGGACTTCAGCAAGAAATGTGACGTAGTTTGGGCACTAAAAGAAGCCATGAAACAAGAAGTGGCCATGAAAATGCCATGGATGAAGACTGGAGCGGGGGTGCCTTTTTTATGAACTAAATAAATATTAAACGCCTAAAACTTTGGAGTATTTATTGGAGATTTTAAATCATCTTATTCTGACCTAATAACCTACATCCCCGAAGGCCAGATTCAGTGAACAATAGAAAATTTAATTATGATTTCCTTTAAGAACAGATTGTTCGGCTGACTTGGTGATAAGAATCCAGAAGAGAAAACACATTAGTCGTTGGTCTCCCCAGATGAAATGCTGCCTTACCCGGGCGGTCACTCTCTTGAGCCAGATTTTGAATTTCACTGTGTCCTGCTTCAGGCCCCCATTGTAGACTTGTAAACCCGCTAATAAATTCTGCCCCTCCTTTAAATTCTTCTTTGTTATTTAGGGATATAAATTGGGGCATATAATTTCAAATGCCACTTGGCTTCCTATGTGGTATTTTCCTCTATCTGGTTTACAGATCTTGAGACCTTCATTATGAGAACATTTATCACCAGGTGAGAAATATATATAAGCCACTGGGGTCAACTGAGCCTCATGTAGGGGATGCATCAACCCTCATTTCCCTTTTAGAGGATGAACAGTTCACCTCTGCTTGCCTTTAAAGGATGCCCAACCATTTAATAGTGTGTAAAGGGAGGCCATTCCTGCACACCAGTATTCTCGTGTGGCACAGTGATGCCTGTCGCTTTAATTCAAATGTCAGTTTCCATTTGAAGAAGACTTTTGCGGCTGGCATGGCGAACATTCTAGGCAGCGTTTCTTTGGAAACCCTTTGCTGTATCCATGGATACCCAATCTGCAGGAAGCAAGGTGCATGATCTCTTCAGGAGCAACACACATGTGTACATATAGTTGCTCTGTATTGAAAAGCAAAAAGAGTGCAAAGTCTGATTATCACTGGAGATGTGGTTAATAGGAAAACAACTTCTATCTATCAGTATTGTGGAGGCTTTTTCTCCTGGTATGAAAACATGCACCCAAAATAACCCCAGATAAAGTTTAAGTATTTATAACAAGAAGGTTTTCTGTGGCCTTGGAGTTTTATTTTGAATGTTGTCTGCAGTAGTTTTCATAAATAGCCAACACAGTTCACGGAGAGACTTTGGAAGGCTCTACTGCATCAGACTTTATACTAGTCAATGCTAGTCAATGACCCATTATCTCAGTTTATCATCTACCTACCAAATTGGAGTTCTCAATTAGTCCTAAACCTTCCTGAGGTAATACATTTTAAAAACAAAGAAAAAAATGTAATAGTGCTATAAATAAAATCCCATTTAATAAGAAAACAACAAAATGAAGATCAATAAAAGAAGATAGCTATTGAATCGACCAGCATTGTCTATAAGGATTTGAGTATTAAAACTTAAAAAAAATTTTTTTTCTTGGAAGATACCTGCTATTTGCCTGGAATTGGTCTTATGAATAACAAACCCTATAATTGTAATGCAGAGTAAATAATTATTCTTGGGCTGAACTCAACAAAAAAGAATTCCTTGTTATTATTTTTTCCCTGTAGACTGGCATTTCACCAGCTGTTACATAATTCTCAATGCCTTTGTATTTGAAAAATGTTGATTCATCTCAAAGCCAGGTAGAGGTGATATATGCTCTGGGGCAAATGACTGATGAAGTGCTTTGTGAAAAAGCATCGTCTTTACTCAGAGTTTTTATTTAAGTAATTTTCCAGTCTTCATATTCAAAGGTGAGATGGGATGATTTCTGTGAGAGACACGTTATTTTTGGTGTGCCTTGATATATACTCTCTATTATATATACTTGAGTGGTATGAGTTCAAGTAGAAATGTAGCATGAAGAGTTTTACCATTCCTAGTTATCAAAAGTAACCATAAGATTTTGCCAAATATTATCATAGTTTGAAATTATATTTGAATGCCAGGTTTAATGATTTGTTTCACATTTCATATTGTCACTTTTTACCCTTACTACCACCTTCATCATACCCACTCCCACTCCAATTTGATACTAAGAGAGAGGAGGGTGATGGGGTTGAAGTTCACAACCTTATGCACCGTTTTATAGTGAAGTTCAACAACTTCCAAGCTGATGGGTGATTCTGGAACAATGAACAGTGGCAGAAGAGCAGCTCAGATTCCTGGGTTCTCTCGCCACTGTCGATGGCACAGTGTGTCATGCCGTTCCATACTGAAGCATGTGTTTTGTTGTGTTTTCCATGGTTCAAGATCAGATTTCTAAGATAATGTAATTTAGAATACGATGCAGATTGCTTTGCTGACGTGACCTGCCAACAGTCATAATCTTTATGAGATGTGAGTTATAACATTGCGTTGTAAATTTATAGATATTTTCTCTCATAGCAACAGTATTAACAAGTGGTAAATTAACAGAATGGCTGACTTTTTTAAAAGTTTATTTTGTAGGCCGGGCGCGGTAGCTCACGCCTGTAATCCTAGCACTCTGGGAGGCCAAGGCGGGCAGATTGTTTGAGCTCAGGAGTTCAAGACCAGCCTGAGCAAGAGCGAGACCCTGTCTCTACTAAAAAAATAGAAAGAAATTATCTGGACAACTAAAAATATATAGAAAAAAATTAGCCGGGCATGGTGGCACATGCCTGTAGTCCCAGCTACTCGGGAGGCTGAGGCAGTAGGATCGCTTCAGCCCAGGAGTTTGAGGTTGCTGTGAGCTAGGCTAACACCACGGCACTCACTAGCCAGGGCAACAGAGTGAGACTCTGTCTCAAAAAAAAAAAAAAAAAAAAGTTTATTTTGTAATCACGTTAGAATTTTTGACGGTTGAAATATTGACCCTTGAACAACACAGGGGTTAGGGCCTGCACAGTTGAAGATCTGAGTATAAATTTTGACTCCCCCAAAACTTAACCATTGAATAGCCTACTGTTGACCAGAAGCCTCACCCATAACATAAGGAGTCAATGCATATTTTGTATGCTATATGCATTATATACTGTATTTTATAATAAAATAAGCTAAATAAAGTATTATTAAGAAAATCACAAGAGAAAATATATTTACTATTCATTAAGTGTAAGGGGATTATCATAAAGTTCTTCATCCTTGTCATCTTCATATTGAGTTGGCTGAGAAGGGAAAGGAAGAGGAGGGAATTGGTCTTGCTGTCCTGGGGGCAGAGGTGGAAGAAAATCCACATATAAGTGGACCCTTGCAGTTCAAACCCATGTTGTTCAAGGATCAACTGTACATTTTTGGTTGAGGTATCCTTTCATATAAAAGTTGTTGACCTGAAGTCATTTTGGTTTGTTAGCAAAAGGTTATGTCCATTGTGTGCAAATACTTTTTAGCACCTGTGAAACATTTTACGGCCTGTGAACTGAGCCCAGCTGGACATAATTGAGAAACTCAGCAGCCAGTCAAATTAGGATTAACTTGAACATGCAAAGTGAGAGAGAAATAGGCAGTTCTTAGTGATGAGGTAGTGAGACTAAGACTAGGTTTACTGCCTAATCTAGGTAAGACTACCCATCTACTAACAACTGATTTGATTATTCTGATCTAAGTGATATGCATCTTATAACAAAAGGAAAAAAGGCACTCATATCAGGGCCATTATGAATGTCCCTCCTAGGTCAGAGTGAATAATAAAAAGCCTTTAGATTAATAGAGCTGATGTCAGTATGGTTTTTAGCAAACTGATGAAATCAGAATTTTGATGAATGGTTTAATAAGATAAATAGCTAACATGTATTAGAAGCTTTGAGATATTAATGCTAGTTTTCTTTATTGTTTTTCTATTCAATTTAATTAATTTATATTTATTTTTGCAGCCCTGGTAGTCAATTCTATCTAATGTTAATACTGTGTTTTCAGGTTGTAAGGCTCAGACTATTGTGTGCCGAAATTGGTGGATGAATGAAGATACTTGTTTAAAGTACCACAATTCTGCCTTATCTAATACAATGCATGTGTGCTGAATGTGGTCACAAAGGTGATAGCAAGTTTGCAAAAGCTGACCATTTCAAAGTCACCTGGCAGCTGCAGGTCGGGCACAAAGGGGCTGAGTACCTGCATGCTGCAGTGTGTGAGCGGGCACAGCCCACGAGCTGGCTGGGCAGGGTTGGCGTCCTGCCCAACTAGGCACCAACAGGCTGGAAGGATGAATTAGGGAGAGTGCCCACATCCCTGCTGGCGGGCTTTGTTGCCTGTAACTGTCCACACCGGTTCAAGTTTATAGCCCTGTTCCCTCTGCTAGGATTCCAGGCCTCAGAAGGTATGTGGCCCCGAACCAGCTTGATTTTCAGTTAGGTGTTCAGATTATACAGATTGTTGTGCTCCATTAATTTGAATAGAATTTTTCAGATGGGCTTTATTTCACAATGTCATATACAGCTACTTCTATTTAATAAGTACAAAAAATGAACAATTAACATACTAACAAATATGTCTATTATGTGGGCTTTTAAAATGGTGGTTTTTTAATTCAGTGTACATTTTACAAATGTATTTTAAGGCTATATCCCTGCTACCTAATAACAAATGTATGTTCCCATTTAGAAGAAGAAATGAGAGGCAAGTAATATGTAAGGTAAAAGTTACCACAGAAATCTGAGCGGATGAATAAAAACCAGATATTTTCATGCATGCATACAATCTGCATGCTGGAAAGGGCTGCAGAACGCCACTTCTGCCATTTTGTAGCTATCTGTCCCTTACCTGAGTAACTACTACTCTATGTATATTGGAAACAATTCTAGATTAGAAGTTATTTTAACATCCTAGCGATCCTCAGGGTAGCCGAGGTTATATTTACTTTCATATCCTCTCACGTTCACCAAATTAACAGAAATTCATTTCAAATAGCATTTGTAGCATCATAGCTACCAACCTTTAAGGTTATCGATAGCCCTGAAGACTTAAAGCAATTAAGAATTCAAAGTCATCATTAAAATCAATTATTTTAATTGCTTAAATAAACATACATAACTGATGTAGGGGAAGGAGATCACAAGTAGTTAGATGGGATTTGTAGTAAGTCACCCACTTGCTGGAGACAGTCATAAAGAGCTCCATCCTGTCGATCCCCACGGTTCACTCAGCCTTCAAGGACATGCACATCGCAAAGGAGGCCAAGCAAAGATCAAAGCAAATCAGAGTTACATGTTTGGAAAATATACAATGAATGACAGAGACAAGAGTTAGGACCAATTGTGTACCTGCTCAAGGTGGGACATTTTAAAAGATGACAATCTATGAATACCGACGTGTGATGGTTAAATGGTCCATCGTCAACACAAATACAAATGGAAATCATTTTATTAAACTTTCTGGAGAGGCCATTTTAACATCAAGGCCTGGGTTTTTCCCAGTGGAATTTTGGTCTTCATATCTGGATACGCGCGGGCAGAGACAGGCCGGGCAGTGGCTGGTTTGTGGACACGGCCCAGGCTGGCTGGACCTAGCACTGCAGCTCCTCCTCCTCCGCCCGCCGGGGGCCTCCCGCTGAGCTCTGGGCACTGGCATGGGCCGTGGAGCTAAGGACCTCCTCAAAACTGCCTCCGCTGTGGTTGGACCCACCTACTTTCGTCTGAAACGAGCAGAGATGCAAACATGCAGTTAGTCATTCCCTATCATTTTTGTAATATTTTTATAAGAATGCCAAAAGTTTGATTACTTTCAAATTCAGGAATACTTTTTAGAGGCAAAAAAATGTAGACAAGTTAGTTTCCTTTTAGGAGAATGCTAGAATGTCATTGATAATTGGGCTTTGGGAGAGGATTCCAAACATGAATTTTGCACAGTTTTAGCAATGCTCTCTTTATCTCTTCTACATCTAGGATTCCAGTCCCTTCAGGGCATAATCAGATTTGAGGACTTGCAACATCTACCTCCACTCACCCAGAGAACCGATCTAATGAAAATTGAACTAGATTTTAGATCGATTCCTCCAATTTTACAAATGTGCAAACATCCTTAAATGACTTAAACTTAGGTTTTCTACTCAGAGTGGCTCAATGGAACATAATTTCTGGTCTCTACTTTGAAAGTTGGAGAGGGATCAAGTCTTAAGCACTGGTAATTTCACAGCTTTTTAGGCCATTGCCTTTATAGTAGGAATAGTCCTTAAAATGCAAAGTTACGATGCTTTACAAGACTCTCTTCTTGGTACTTGTTATTGACTAAGCATAGAAACATGAAGAAATCAACTTACAATTTAAAAATATGATTAAGTATCTTGGAAAATATCCTTATTGAAAGCCCTTCGAAAGAATATTTAATGGACCAAAATGCTTAATGCAAGTTTTGTTAATAATCACATTAGCCTTCCCCTTCCATTGTTTTTCACAACATGGAAAAACCTTTGAGGAAAGGGAAGATATAGAATAGATAATGTTGCTATTGCCAACTGATTTCTACACCTTGCTGTCCCCAAAGTGATCGCTTGTAGACATAACGAACAACACTGGGGAATGTGTCCGTGCCACTTGGCCTGCCCTTTTAAAAACTTAAAACAGCGTTTCAAAGCAGTTTTGTCATTACAAAACAAACACTTTTCTCCAATTGTCACTAAAATCTCTCTCTGCCTCTTAAATTCAGTTACTAAATTGAATTTTTCCACTCTGCTTGTGGTCCGTGAAGGGGCAAATAGTACATATTTTAGGTTCGGGAGCCACGTAGTCTCTGACATGGACAGTCAAGCCAGCTGTTGTAGAAGGCAGCCACAGACAATATGGAAGTAAATGAGCACGGCCGTGTTTCAATAAGATTATGTGTGGATATGGAAATGTGAATTTCATGTGATTTAATTCTCACATGTCACAAATATTTTATTTTGCTTTTTTTAACCATTAAAAAAAAACATTCTCAAGTTATGAGTCATTCAAAAGTAGGTGACCAGCTGGGTTTGGCTGAGTTTGTGGACCTCTGGCATAGAGCACTGGTCCTCCTCTACTCTGTTCTCTTAGCACTGGGAAGAGGTGGGAAGGGATACTTTCAACTATGTGATTTTTCACTGTGCTTATTTCTTTCCTGAGAGAAGCAAATAAGATTAATTCAATGTAATCTACTGTATTAACAGTTCCCATACTCTCGCTCTCTTCTTTTTTTATTCAAGTGCTCTTTTGCTTCTGTTCTGCAATAGAAATCAGGTACAATGTTCAGTAAGGCAAATACCGGTTACTGATGTTTTCTTCTGGGCTTTGTTTCATTCTTCTCTCCCACTTCTTGATTTTTCTTCAAAATAATAGTAAAATAAAGAAGGAGGGAACTGCTTTGAAAGAAATCAGTTTGGCAAAGAGGGGATGGAATAAAAGGGTTTCCTAACCATGTGGGTTTAATGAACGCCTGCTGCAGTACTTTAGGCAAGGACCTGGTTACGCAAAGATGTGAACAATAAACCTCTCCTGAACTGTGAACCCTCCCCTGCATAATGGTTTTCCATCCAAGAATTTGTCACTTTGTCCCCCAAATTGTTCTTTGCATAAAATTTCATTTGAATTGCTGAGTTGGGCTTCCTAATCTCTCATAATAAAATAGTTGATTGAGAAGACGCAAAGAAACAAAAAAGTATAATATATCTTGTCTTTTTTTATTTAAGGTGTTGATTCAGGCCATGTAATATATTCATCAAAAAGTAGATGCACTAAACATATGATCTGCTTGACATGAATGCACAGTGGTTGGAAGGGATGCAGTTGCTCATGATTCCCTGGAACATGATAGAATATACCAAATGTGGTTTCACAGGAGTTGGTTCTGCATCTGCTTATTTGTTTGTTTGCTCTGGATGAAATAGTACAGGTGACACCAGCTGCGGTGCCATCAATTAATGCAATGCAAGGATGTAGGCAGAAGTAAATTTTCTAGGATTGGAAAGTTTTTCATGGGAAAACAAACTATCTACAGAATTGGGTATAAAGGAAGAACAATTGATTTGCTACAACTGCCAGGCCACACGGTATGTGACTGAGTGAGTGAGAAGATGGCAGGAGCTGCCCTCACTTCACAGCAGAACGTTATTTCTCATAGAACATAAATATGGCCATGGTTCCCTATCAGTGGCGTTTTAAAAAATCAAGCTTAAAGCAGGACATGTGAACGGAAATGCAGCACACAGACCTGCAAGGAATTCCTCTCACCCTTACTGATTCATGAGTCAATCCCTCAGCAGAAAACAGCCTAAGGATCCATAATTGACAAACAATAGAAATTCTGGATTTAGATTTAGAACAAAAAAGTAAACAGCAGAAAATAAGCTATGTGAAGAGGGGTTAAACACATCTATTATTTAATCTAGAGAAGGAAAAAGGAATGAGACATTTTTAATTATTGAGGAAGTAGGAGGTTTTACACAGAGCATGATTATCAGCTATTCTCCATTGCCTGGGTGGGCAGAGGAAGAGGAATTAGGCGTTGGCTGTGAGACGGGAGGTGTGTGGGATGTGAGTCTTATTAAACCACAGACATTCAAACAAGCACGGAATCCGCTTTCAGTGGGTCTTGACGAAGGCCAGTGTCCAGTGGGCTGAGTTACTTATGTGCATGTCTGAAGGAGGAGGCAGGCTCTATACCTTCCATCCTGATGAGGTGAGAAAGTGAGAGGCCAGGAGTGTGGATCAAACACTTATGTCATATGTGAGCCGTGAGCTTACCGTTTTCCTAAAAGTAAATGAAAATAGGCTGTTCTTTATTCTTCTTTTGCTTCTTCTTATCTCCTTCTAAAGAAAACCTAAAAAGTACTACTTTTCCTATGTCAGAACTTGTCTAACAGGTAACAGAATCTATCCTCCTCGGGTGGTTTAAGGCTGAAAACCAAATGTTGAGAAACTGACTCCTGGGATTTTGGAGCCTTTTGTTTTGATACTCCACCAAGAGAAATGTCCACAACACTGCATGTCCCTCCCTTTAAAAAGGAATTCCCTACTAGCAGGGCAATTTAATGGCTCCTACTGGTTTCTGTACACTCAAAAGTGATGATGTTGGCCAGGCGCAGTGGCTCACGCCTGTAATCCTAGCACTCTGGGAGGCCGAGACGGGTGGATCGCTCAAGGTCAGGAGTTCGAGACCAGCCTGAGCAAGAGCGAGACCCCGTCTCTACTAAAAAATAGGAAGAAATGATCTGGACAATTAAAAATATATATATAGAAAAAATTAGCCGGGCATGGTGGCACATGCCTGTGGTCCCAGCTACTCGGGAGGCTGAAGCAGAAGGATTGCTTGAGCCCAGGAGTTTGAGGTTGCTGTGAGCTAGGCTGACGCCACGGCGCTCTAGCCCAGGTAACACAGTGAGACTCTGTCTCAAAAAAAAAAAAAAGTGATGATGTTGACAAGCAGAGCAGTGAAACTGCACAACTAGAAACTGCTGGTGAATGAAACCAATGAAAGCATGGTAAACTCTGAGTAATAATTTCATTCTTGGGCCTTAAACACCCGATCACAGACCTAATAAAATAGAAGTAGGAGACTAGGTTAAAGACCCTCCCCTAAAAGAGAGACTCCCCAGATCCAGATCAGTAAGAGCATCTGGGACCTCCAGTAAGGAGTAACTTACAAGCTCACATACACTATCAGGCAGCACACGCGAGAGTGTTCAGAAGCAGCGGAATAATCAGCATGCGCATGTGGTGGCTTTTGATCTGGTTAAAGATCATGAATATTCTTAATTTTCCCAGTAACAGTACAATAGAGAAATAGATTGTATGCAAAATAGTGATAATGACATCAAGATGTAATTAAGTCATTGTTTAGGTGATAGCCTTTTAAAAAATGATCTTAGAATTAAATAGTTTTAGTGATTTTTCTGGTTTTAAAAGTTTGATACATTTTAAAACTAGACTGATTTTATTTTTGATTTTTTTCCTGTGTAGACTAACTTACCTATGCTCAAACAATATATCTAGTGATTTTTTTTTTAACATCTACCATGCAATAGGCATATTTTCAGTTTATACCCAGGGATCAAATGCATGATTATAAAATGCATTTTGTGATTCACCCTAATTTTACCTCCACAATAACCACACTGTGCTGTGCTCAGTATGTGAATTCAGTAATTAAGTCTGAGAAGCTGACAGGTATTGGATGGCAGTATAATACATGGTACCAAGTTTGTTTTTGCTGGTCCATGTCCAAACCACAGCAGCTCTGGGCTGTTACTGAACTTTACTCACACTCTAAATTCAGAATTCATATAGCCTTATCCTATCCATAATCATCTCTCACATATCTACTGTTGAGGGCATAGCAAAAAGAGATTAAGAGGTAAACACAAACTCCAATTCACTTTTATGGACAATTCATCCTTGAATGGTTTACACAAACAACTCGAAGGATACAGGAACACTATTCAGTACTGGTTTTATTTATAGGTTTATATGTGAAGAAAAAGGTCTGACTTTACACAGGTCTGCCTTCCTGGCTGAACAGAATGCTGGTGGCCCTGGCTTGCCTTTGGAACTAATGGCAGCAATGACTACACTGTCCTGAATCAATGGACCCACTCACACAGAATTCACTTCATCTGTACCTTGAGGCTTGTGACAGTTGTCTCAACCCTCTCCTCAAATGATTTGAAAGTAGGAGAATTCCTAAAATAACAAAAAAAGAGAGGTCAGCTCTAAAGACCTAGCTGTCTTAGCAACCATGCTGTTTGGTTTTTTGCTCTCATTTGTAAACATCGCCTCTGCACCAGAGCTACCCGTGTGTTCGCCACCTCCACCTACCGCATTTAAAAACCTATGTCATTTCTGCTAGGTTATGTACAGAAACCAGAACCTGACATGGAATTTTTCTAGGTAAAAACCATCAGACATTCAACTGTAGAGTAAATACAGCATTTGGCAATGATACAACTATAATAATTCCATAGTACACTGTAAATCATTTCCAAAGAGTCCATGGAATGATAGCTTAATTTTCCATTTAGCAATTAATTTGTTTTTATCACAATACTCCTCTTCCCAACTCAGTTTTTTTAGTGAGCAATGGAAAATCTGTATGAAGAATGTCATGTTTGAGTTTTACCACTTGGAATTTTAAAGTTATTTTTTTCAGCAAATGTGAGACAAGACAGAAATAGCATAAGGAAAAATGTTTCATTTTTTTTTTCTTTTCCATGCCTCACGAAGTAATCATTTTGACAATTTCCATGAAGTGGTGTCTCAGAAAGTTAATGCTTTCATTATTTTAAGTTGAAATATGTCCAATTACCTACCAAATGCCTGATCAAAATGGTGTTATTAGCATGTGGTATTTCTTCTCCCAAAGAGGATATACCTATTTGTTCTCATACCAAACAGCCTGTCAGCATTTTATTTGTGGCTCATTCATTGTGTTAAATGATCCATATACCATCTTGTTGCTTTAAGCATTAAATACTTCATTTGGCACTTTCTGGTTTTCCATACTGGATTTGGCCACATGATATTGCAGCGTAATGACATCATTAACATTAAAAATATCACCAAGTCCAACTAAAAAAACAGGAACTGAACTAAATGTATCTCAGCTCTTGAATCCATGTCAGCTTTCAATGCAAGGACTCCATCATTTTCAGGTCAAATAATTCAACTAAATGTCACTATATTTCATAAGCCACATGTTATTCTCTCTTGAGTGCAAAAAAAGTAAAATAAGAGGAATGACCTGATGAAACTCCTTTAAAAAGGAGAAGAGCTATAAAATATGGGTTTCACTGTATGGTGTGGGGTGAAGCATGGTTCTTATATCCAGAGACAACTAACATAGAGAATATACAGTTTTTTTTTAGTGAACTTTGGCATTGTTGGGGATTGTCTCCTGAGTCTCTGACACTCCACATGGTCGGAAATGCCCTTGTGTTCAGGCTGCATGGATGAACAATGATGAGCTCAGAGCATCCAGGAAGGCATCAAGCCTTGTGTCTGACTCAAACATGAGTCAAACTCCCATGAATACCCATCCAGAATAACTGTTTCATGATGATATAATAGACATTATACTTCAGTGACTCAAAAGTATATACTTACTGGTACTTCACTTCCACTGCAGGTTTTATGTGGCCAAGCCTGCCCATGTGACTGCCTGTCATCCATCAGGCCCATGGCTATACAGGCCCATGGTGGGCAGATGGTTAAGCCTATGGTTCATGGGTATATGTTCAATGAGTAAAATCATTTTTTAAAAAAAAGTTAACTCCAGGAAAGCTCATGGGGACTCCATTTGACCCATAAGCCACTACTAGATGGATTCCTGGTTCATAGAACAAAAACATGTTATTTTTTTTTGCAAGCCTTCTTTGGACACCCAGACTTAAAATTTGAAACATAAAGGAGCTCAGAGCCTTGGGTTACACTAATCAATTCGGGTGTTCTTATGCTAGGGGGAGCAAGACCCTCAAAGAGGAACTAAGCAATGTTGAATCTATACTCTCTATTTACCACCAAATACAGAGAACCAAATACTGTGGTTAAATTTCCAAATCAACCAATTAAACAAATAACCCCAGTGTAGAAGAGACTTCATCAGGCATAACAGAACATTCTTCTAATTAAATTACACTAGAATGTGTGCTGGAGAACAGGGAGAAACTGTTTAAAAAGATTTAATCGAATCATGTACAACTACAAATTTTTAGCACTGCAAAGAATTTGGCTTCAGTGGTCTCAAACTATTTAAAGTAACTGAGCCCCCTCTTTAATGTATTCAAACCACAATATATAATATGCTTGATCTCTAGGCAGCTCTAGGGCTCTGGGAGCACCTTTGGAAGAGGAGTAAATCTGGTTCTAGCCTCTTATTTTAAATACAATGAAACTGATACCATGGAGGTAACTCTCCCAAGGCCACAAAGTTAATCCATGATACGGCTGGGCTACAACCTGCATCTTCTGATTCCCAATCTAACTTTCTTTCCTGTATACACTATCACTATTAGTTTGATTTTATCTGATTGCATTACTCAGCCATGCAAACTAGAGGCTGGGAATGTCTTTCTCACAAGTTTTCATCCAGCCAGTAATTTTAATGACACTCTACTATTCAACAGACCTAACCTTAATATCTTCCTTAAAAATCCTAATGATATCCCTTCTAGAACTTTAGCCCTCTTAGTCAATCTCCTATCTTTTCATATAAACTTTCTCCCAGGCTGGCATTTAATTCTGCCAAAATAAGAAAATATATTTTTACCTTTGCTAGCGTGCTTGGAATGTTCTAGATCTTGTGCTAAGTGCTTTACACAGGTTACTTTGTTTATGCCTCACAACGCCATATGGGGTAGGTCTTATATCTTGCAATGTATGAATAAGAGAATGGAGATTGAGATAGTTATTTTACTTGTCTTAGGTCACACAGGAAAGGCTGGATTTAAGCCAGTGTGTCAGGCCAGAAGCCCAAGCCCATTACACTATTTGTCTATAGAACTGGCAGCCTTTTCTCCAGAACACCATCAGAAAAGAGAATGAGGCAGGATATGGCATTTCAGCAATTTCCTTCCACATAAAGGAGGAAAAAAAAACCCACAAGTAAATACAAATAAACACTGGAAACACAATCTGCATTAATATTATACAAAATATTTTACACACATTACCTCATGGCAGGCATACTTATGGAATGGCGAATGGAGTAGCTTCAGGGCAAAAGCAGATTAAAGGGGGGAAAAAAAAGAAGATGGCACAATATAAGTACATGAAGAACTCCCCATTCACAGTTCTAAAACAGTAATTTCAAATATCTGAAATATTCCCTGCCCACCCATCCAAGATGATATTTGTTTTCCTTTGGTATAATGGGGCACAGCCAGCTTTCAAGGGTATAAATGAGGAAGAGATGATCTATGGTTGCATATTATTTTACTTCCTGCAAGCTCCCTAGACCAAGAAACTTGGGAATGTCTGGTTTCCCCCAGGTGGCCCAGTAGCCCATGGGCATCCTCTCCAGGCCCAACCTGGGCCTCCACTCCCTTCTCCTGCTCAGGAAGATGGTAAGGAGAGAAAAGGGCAGCACCCAGGAAGTAGAGCCAGGCAGGTGGATGCTAATCATTCCATTGTAGAGAAACTGTCCAGAGGAAGGCAGGTAGTTAACATAAGACATTCAAGGAAGCATGCACCAGGCAGACACAATTCACGTAGGGCAAAGTAGGGGCAGGGGCTTCTGCATCCATTCTGGTTCGATTGTCAGGAATATCTGGTGCAAATAAAAACTTTCCTGAGAAGTTTAAGAGATTCAGCCTTCTCATCCTACTAATCCCACAGTAGCTGACTCATCTTCCCTCTGATTGATTCCCTGTTATTTTCTATTGACTTCCACTCAGAAATCAGGCTGAGCAGAGAGAGGAAGAAAAATGGACCCATTCTCCTGAGCACTAGCACTGGCTGGTTCCCCTTCACATGTTTGAACAACGTCCCCACTTTCTCTTTTCTAAGAAGCTAAAGGTCAGGGATCATATGTGTCACCCTTCCCCGACAATATCCACTGAGGTCATTCGTATGGGCAGCACTTTACTAGAATGCAGAAAGTAAAGGACGAAGAAATTTTGGGGATGCTTATGTTTTTACTCTAGACACTCCATTTAGAAACTATTAGGCAAAATATTTCATGAAATTACATTTCAAAAGCATCACTAAAAGAAACCCATCAGCATTGCCAAATCTGCTCATCTCTGTAAACATAAGCAGTTTTCTTAGAAAAAAATTCAAAAACAAAAGTACACAATAAGATTCCAGGTAGAAGGCGGCTTAATTCAGAGGCCTGGGACTGACAAATGCAAACTTCTTAACATATGTGCTTTCCTGGTAATCTTTCTCCCTTCCAACTTCAGAAGGTACAAAAAGTTGCAAGGGAAGCATCAGCACAAATCAACAGTTACAAGAAATTCAAAGAAACATGACAATCTAAAACAAAAACAAACAGAAAAAAAAAACATGACAATCTAGAGAAAACAATTTTCTGTTTGTCAACTTTACTTTCTACAAGTTTTATGTAAAAATCCACCACTCTCAATCTCTACTTTTTTTTTTTTTCTTCTTTCAATTCTAAGGACCTCTGCCAAGGTAGGAAGAAATGGTGCAGAAAAAAGATTCCTAAGAGATTGCTCAGCAAGTGAAATTGGTGTAAATGGTTCAGCAATGAAATGAATGTGTACTTAAATAAATTCAAATGTAGTAGGTGCCCTATAATCTTTTTCTGTTCATGAACACTCTCTGCAAAACAGAGTTTTCTGGTGGAGGCACGCTGTGAAAGAAACCCTGGGCATCAAGGCCTGGGCGGCAAGGGAGCAGCAGGGGAGCGGGCGGAGCCCCACATGCAGCCATGCGGTGCTTACCCGATGGAGTGAGACCTGCAGCCCAGCAGCATGGGGAGAAAAGCAGAGCAGTTAGCACACAGGAGGCACAGCAACCACGCCGCCATTGTAGTCCCCTTTCCGGAGCCCCAAAAGCAAAGATTGGGAAACACCATTCACCACTCTTTTCTGAGTATCCTGACTTTTTCATGTGTCTTACAGATTATTTTACCAACTTGTTATAAGTTTTGCTTCTAACTGTTATTCCCATGGATACATAGCAATGGTTGGACTCTCCAATAAAATTGCATGTCTTCTCCAAACATTTCGTCCCCACCGCATCACCGTTTGAACAAAGTCACTAAGAAGTTCCAAGAAGATACCGATATGATTATAAAAATGATTCCAACAGCTTGTATTTTTTTGGAATACTTTCATAAATGTAAACTAGTTTTAACTTCGCAGGAAAACACTTTGGTCATGCAGGTGTTAACAATGTTATTTTACAGATGGAGAAAGACGAGGCAATTCCATGACAATCAGGTTAAATTGAAAATCTTAGCTTGGGACATAAAAGTTATCTTTACAAAACAAAAGTTAAGTTTTGTTAAGTTTGTAAAGCTATCTTTACAAACATATAAACTAAATTCTAACATAGTGCTTTCCACTCAATTATTAGAAGATCTAAATTTTAGGTTTTCAAAATCTTACTGTACGTATCCATTGGAATTGTTTTAATGAAAAACTGAGAGGTATGTTTTTTCTTCCAAGTTATCTGAATTTTGCTGGCAATCATTTTGAACAAGTTCAGAAATTTGGTCCCAGAATACACAAGGGAATAATATGACATTTTTAACCAAAAAGAAGTTTAAAAGAAAATGTCTGTGATAAAATTTTAACATTTCCCCACTATCATTTTATAAACTGGCACATTAATTTGAACAAAAAGTCAAAACTTATTAATTTTTCTCATTTAAGAGTCTTTAATTAAACTTAAGCAACTTCAAAATCACTTTTATGTATATTACTTGTTTTAGCATAATTTAAAACTAAAACTTCTTTGCAAAACTTGCTTTCACCACGAGTTATCCTCATTTATATATAAATGTTAGATATAACTTGAAAGAAATACAAAAATATCAAATATTACATAAAACTATAGCTCTGAATTTTTCAAACTCTTCAAAATATTTCAGGCTGTATTTGAGCCTCAAGTAACTAACAGAGGCTACATTTTCCAATATTTTTAGCCACAATTTATAATGAAAGTGTTGTATCTGTGGAGTAGTAACTATTAATAATAAAAAGTTTGGAACTCCTGGGAAATAGGTTATTCATTATGCTAAAACAAAGCCACATTGAAACAGGAGGAAAGGTAATCAACACAACCTTGATCCTATACTCAATTAGTGTATGAACACGAATGCCAACGTATTACATATATGAAACACAGTCTTCATTCTTTACTATTTGGAAGAACAATGATTAGAGCCTTTATGAAATACAGTGGGCTCCTGTGGATGGACTCTCCCTAATTTCCATGATGTGGGGTCTCCTTGTAACTGAGATGTTCACTTAATAAAGAGAAAAACTAACATTTATTGAGTGCATAATACATGCCAGACTCTCTTCTACTACTTTTATAATAACCCAATGATGTTGTTACTCTTATCTCCATTTCACCCAGGAACTGGTGAGCCAAGTCACATCCGTCTTCCCCATAACCTGACCTGAAGCCGGGTTACCTGGGAGCTTGTAACATATACACATTCCTAGGCTCCACCCAAGGCCTCATTGTACTGAGGCAAAATCTCTGACCTTGGAATACATATTCTAAGCAAGCGTCAGTTGTGTTTGTAAGGTCCCCTAAAGATGCAGAAACACTATTCCAGTCAGCAGTATTATGCTGCATTTCCAGTGTTCAAGTGAAAGATTTCAAGTAGGTATATACAAAACTATTTTTAGAAACATGGCCAAATAGATTTTCTCAGATATAACACGTAATAGGGTCTTTCCTGTTTTAAGGGACTATTTAGTTAGTTTAGATAAATGTTACAATACCATCAAAATGACAACAAATTTTATTTATAATAAAATTAGGGATAAGTAAAAATTCAGGAGGTTTATCTGTTCATCACACCTGCCTCTGAAAAGTTTCAAATGCTTTTTGTTGCAGTGGCATTAGTAAAAATGAAGATAAAACAATATACTCAAATTCATGCACATGTCCTTACTTAACTCTAGCCTTGCAAATGCCTAGTTGTTAAGACAGTGCATGAATATTGGGCACAATCCAATTTTTGAAGTTAAAAAATCATTTAAGATACTAATATACATATGTAAAGATATATATAAATATAAAGATGCAAGGATAAATATTTTCCTCTAGGTATCAAAAGCTTTTTGTTTTTTATAAAAAAGTAATAGTTTAAGAATCCAGCAAAAGAAAAACACACAGATTTTTTTAAAAAGAAGAAATTTAAAATGTACTTGAAAAGTTTTTAAAAATGAATTTAGTTTCTAGAGAGAAAAATGAAACTGATTTCTAAAGAAAAATCTGCCAAAGCATATAAACCAAATTCAAAATAAACTATGATAGGTATTTAGTCTTATAGTTTTTGCTTGTTTAAATACTGTAAGACTAATAATGCTATGTAAGATAACTTCCTTGTATATAATATGAAAAATAAAAATGGCCAATACCACATTTTTTTTTCTGGTGCCTACAGTGAGAACTTTTGGCTCCCAGTTCAAAATCAACCTTGATGTTCACCCTTATTTTATATAATAGTGAAATAGTAAAAATAATCAAAATGTGCAATAGTAAAAATAATCAAAAGTGTTGCTACAACTATGCACAGGAAGATAATAAAGCCATTAAAAATGAAGGTGTTGCATCACGAAGGCAGGCATTAAAAACTGAAGGTATAATAAATATTTATTAAGATATTCACAAAATATTGATAAAGTGAAGAAAGAAAACTACCAGAAGTATATATTATATGGTACCATATTGGAACAAAAGAATAAATATGTATGTATTTAGCACAGAAAAAATACACCACATGGATGTATAAAAATATGTAACTTAGAATAGTTTATTAGAGCATGCTCCACTGAATGTATATTTTAACTTATGTTTTAAATTTTAGCTAGTAAGATTCAGTGTGTGCTACATTCTTTTGAAATCTCCCTCATTATCTAACTTCTATCTTCTATTTTTACTAGGTCGGGTCCTAGTGAAAAGGGCATTTTTAGGACCAGGCCCCTAAACTGATCTTTAGGCAAAAAAATCCCAATATAAAAATTTATCTTAGTCATGAATCAATATCAGCCATACAACATTTTTATCTATTAAAATTTTTAAAAATATATCAAGAAGACCACCCAATAGATGTTCCCTTCAATCAGAAAGCCAAGGGCTTAGCACTGTTCCCACAGTTCTTTCCCGCAGTACCTCATGTCACCAAACTTCTTGCTGATGGCCGTCCCCACGTTGCTGAAAGCTGCAGTCGCCTTCTGCCCTGCATGACTCAGGGTTTCATGTGTTTTCTTGTAGCTAGAAGCAAAAGAGAGCAATAGTAAGAAACACAGTTCTAGCTCATGATCTCCTGTAAAACATTCATCTTCCTTCTCTCTGCTTACTTTGAAAATTTCCTTTCCTCAACAGATTTAAAAAGAGGATCCACAGAAGGTGGTGAAGGGAAATTCACCCCTGTGTGTTCTAAAGCCATTCCAGCAAACAACAGCTTTGTAGGGACCTGTACTTCCCAACAAAGCTCAAATCTGGTCTAGGGCTAAAGCTAAACCTTTCTTTGGCAAAGGTGTAACCATGATAGCAATAGCAACAAACATTTATTGAGGACTTCATATGCATTAACTCATTTAAGACCGGTTTACTGGGAGATTTTTTTGTTTCTTTTGAGTACAAGTAAGCTTTCTATTTTTCAGTGAAAGTCAGCAGAAAAATAGGCTTTACTTTTCAGAGAGTCAGTCAGGACAGGTTAGCTGTTTGGCCAGCACACGGATCCTGGGACCTTCAGTAGCGCGGGGTAAGCGTCTTTCTTTCCAAGCCAAATAAAAAGCATTCTGTTGAATTTTCATGTCTTATTAATTTGAAAGTCAGTATTAATAATCAAAAGGAGAAAGCATGTCATCTTCTAAATTGTTTTGACTTAAAGCATTTTTGTACACATAACTAGAAGAAAAAATTAAAAATGCATCTTTTTACAAGAAGATATTTTATAGCACGAATATATTTTCTATTATGAGATTTAAAAGAGAGCAATCCTTTAATGGCTGCTTGTGCAGCATTTCACCAAAGATACAAAAAAAATTTAGAATTATTTTTCCCTAAACATGTTATGAAAATATAAATTTACCTCTTGACTCTAAAAAAAAAAAAGAATTGTGTAATAAGATGAAAGCCTAAAGGTAAGAAGAATGAACTGTGTGAGAGATTGGGTATGTACATCTTTTAAAATTAGGTCTTTAATCTCCACTGGCACTTCAGAACTCAAGAGTGCTGCTACGCTTCTCATAAAAAGAGATAATAATCATTCCTGAACATGATGGCCTGGAACTCTTAGAAGCACAAAATCAAAGAGTAAATAAATCATAAACTCAACTTCAATTTTCAAGCGCTGTGCATTTTTTAAATGCTGAGAGTGAGGCTTTTACTTCTCTTTATACAAGATGAAGTTACTAAGTTTTCAAAAAGATGGAATAGTGATGGGATAGTTTAAATTCCTTTCCAAAACCTTCTACCATTTGAACTGTGGCACAATTCAGAGGGCTTATTAGTGGGGAGATTTCACTGGTTAGCAAAGCAGAACACTTATTGAATAAATGAAGCCTATCACTTTGAATAGCTCACCACAAATTTGCATTTCCTCATTCCTACTTCTGTCTACAGAAGAGATTCAATTTCTCCTCCTTCTTCATCCCCAAACCACCCTCCTCCCCCATGTCTCCTTGAAGCCTAAAGACAATATCAAAAGGCAGCAGAAAATATAAAAGGGGAAGGACTTTTTTGTGGGTCCTCGGATTCTCTCAAACCTAGGCACATAAAAAACTATGACAAGAACAATGGGGACAGCAAACCCTGGGCACAGATGACTCCTTGCCCTACTCCTGTATTCCTGGATCTTTCTATAAAGGAAATAATTTCAGTCTGCTGCATAATTATTCCTGATCATTGGTCCCTATTCCAATTTGAATCCTACTGCAGACTAAAACATACCAAGATCTTTCATTAACATACCACAGATTTTTCTTTTCATTATAAATCAAACTAAATAGGTCATGATTGCTTAATCAGTATGCAAAGTATTGCCTCTAGGAATCACACACATCCTCTCACAGTTAAAATTCTTTTTAGTGACTTGCAATCCGATTCTACCCAACCGAACCCAACCACAGCTCAGCATTCCCTTACATCATATTTTTCATCACATGAGGTGTAGATCTTGTCCTGGAGTGGGTATCATAAATGCTAACAGAGTGGGGGTTTAATTCACTCAGGAGGTTAAATAGATTCTATCACTCCTCCCAGCAGATGATGACCCTCCCCTTCCCTCAGCATCCAAGCAAAAAGGGTCGGAGAAAGACCCTCTCCCAAAATTATATGGTTTATGGATTTATGCCTCCTGCTTAAGGAAGGGATTGATTCTTCCCTACAAAGGAAAGTTCACTTCACTCCTAGAGGTTAGTGAGTCCACGATCATCCATTTCTATTAAACAATCTCCAAGGAAATCTCATTCAGTCATATAGTTTCCAGTGACATCTATATGCAGATGAATCCCAAATGTCCACCTGAGCCTTCAACTTTTCCTCCGAGTTACCCTCTCATTGTATAAACTTGTTTGTCTGTTGGGCATTTCAGATGTCACATAGCCAAAACAGAATTCTGGAGTCTCTCTTCCAGACCTGTTTCTCAATCTTTCTCACCTCAGAGGATAATTGCTGCATGCTTACAAAGTGTCAGACACTGTCCTGCAGGCTTTACAAATATTAACTCACTGAATCCACACTACCTATGGCACAGGTATTAATATGATCTCTAGTCTGTGGCCTATCAATCTAACCACCATGCTCTCTCTCATCACAGTGAACAGTTCCTACATTCACCGAGTAGCTCGAGTCAAAGATCTGAAAGTCATACTTGTTCCCTTTGTTTTCCCCATTGTCCGCCTTTAAACCACCTTGTCTGACCTCCAAATACTCTCCCGTCTCTGTCCATGACTTTGTAAGACAAACAAATCCCCCAAAACTCTTCTTCCTGACTAGATTCTAAACTCCATAACCCCAGGGAGTACATCCGTGCGATTCACCCAACAAAAAACTTTACACTAAGTAGACTGCCTGGCTATGAAACCAATTTGTTTTTCAAACATGGAAAAACACAAACTACATATTCTCCTCTGTGGGAAGAGGCTAGACGCCTTTCTTCTTTTTTTTTTTTTTTTTTTTT